ATAATAAATTCTATCTTACGTTACAAAGACTATGACTCCCATAAAAGTGCCCACAAAGATTTCCAAAAGCGATTCGTTGATAATCCTTTCGGTCACGGGTGTTCGATTTGTAATAGATTATGGTTTAGAGATGATTTGAGAACTCATGTTGCTGAACACAAAAATATTTTACAAAATATTTTACCGGGAACTAATTTAGAAGACGTTAAATCGTGCTACAATTGCCCACAAAGTTTAAATAGGAAAAGTATACCAAATTTATCAAAATATAATGGTTTTGTATACCCAGAAATTCACGCACATCTTTCTACTTTGGATAAGGTATCAGAAAGACTCATTTCTCCACGAATACCTTTCATGCAAATTAGACGATTGAGACATGTACACGGTCAATTTGGAATATTAGGGCAAATAATCAATGTTCCAGTATCCGTCAATACAATGGTCAATCGAATACCACGGAATGTTGATGATGATTACTGTGTCAATGTTCACATCAAACGGAGGAAATTTCACAGAACTAGTTATCTGATGGGTTTGGTTACTAAAAGAAACATCAAAACATGGTTGCAATATTTAGTAGCTACTCCACTGTACAGAATGTATGATGTTACAATCGATGATAGTTTCTTCAATTTCAAACAGAGTGTGTCTCAAGTTTTTCAGGATGAAATCAGTAAAAATATAACTATTGAAGAGAGTCTTACAGCCCAGTAACAGACGTTGTTATGGAATGAAGAGAAATATCTTCGTATTGCTCCTGAAGAAGCGAATGTACCAAGAAGCTTGCTATTTGATAAACATGCTGAGGAGCTCTCTTTCCCAGCAATTTACTTGGGTCATTTTAGAAACTCCAGGGAAGGAGTTAGAGTTACACCATTCATGATGGCCACGAGTGAATTAAGACGTGTTGATCGTCGTGGAGTGACCCCACAGCATTTGCTTTATAGGGCAATGAAAATTATGCGATTGAGAGTTCGGGATTCTCTTACGGTTGCCTATGAGTTTTGAATTTAATAAGATTTATATTTAGATGTATTTCTGCGCTTAGACCAACGTCGCCAAAGAAGTTTCACTTCTATCGCCTGGCATTCCACGCACCATTTTTGTTGTTTTTAGATTTTTTAGTACATTTAAAGAAAAATATGCTAAAATTAAGAAAAGAAAAGTAAATTATTATAACTAAAATGGGAAAAATGGGTAAAAATAGACAAAAAATAACATAAACGTGGTCCATTCTGTACCAAAGCTGTATGAACAAATTTTCAATTTTTCAATTCTGATGTGTTGCTATGTTATTCATTGTCGAAATGACCTTCAGGATAAGAGATATTTTAATTTTTACAAAAACTAGAGCACTTTATCTCAGTTACTACATGAAATTGCTTAAAAAAAACAGTGATTATATTCACAGAAAGGACTGTAAATTTTGTAATAAAACAGTGATTGATAAATCTGAAGGTTAAAAAACTTCTATTATTATACAGAACTTACACAAAAAAAATTTCAGTTAATTATTTTCAAAACTTTTTTAGCAATCACTGACCCCGTTTGATTATTTTCAAAAAATCACATTTCGAGAAAGTTTTAAAAAGTAAGCATCTGCTTTTACTAAAACACTTGTAGTTTTTAATCTAGAGAACGGAAAATAATAAACTTGGTATTTTTATAAAGCTAATAAGATGGCCTATAAAATAAAATCATAAAAAGAATTTGTCCATTTTTGGCAAAATTCACAATTTTAGGGTAGTCGGATACCTTAAGAGATTATCTGCAAAGTTTGGAGGATAAGGTCTCAAGAAATTTTAGGTATTTTAAGAATATTTTGCATCTAAATTCAATTTGCTCTGTTTACCCATTACACTGCTGAAATTGGTATTGCACTTGAGGAGCAAGCAGCAGCTTGAACTTATTGACATGATGTCAGATCACAATGTGAAGAAAATATTTAAGGTATACGACTACCCTAAAATTGTGAATTTTGCCAAAAATTGCCAAATTTTTTTATGATTTTACTTTATAGGCTATCTTATCGCTTTGTAAAAAATACCACGTTTATTATTTTTTGTTCACTAGAACAAAAACTGCAACTGTTTTTCAGTAAAAGCAGATGCCATTACTTTCAGCAAGATATGGCATACTTTAAAACGCGCTTTACTTGAAATGTGTTTTTTTAAAAAATGTTCAAGGACAGCGATTGCTAAAAAAAGTTTTGAAAATAATAACCTGAAATTTTTTGTGTATGTTTTATATAACAGTAGAAGTGTTTTAACCTTCAGATTTATCAACTACTGTTTTATTACAATATTTACAGCCCCTTATGTGAATATAACCACTATTTTTTTTAGCAATTTCATGTAATAACAAAGATAAAGTTCTATAGTTTTTGTATTTCCAGGAAAATCCTGAACCCTACAGTGACGACAAGATCGAAGAAGTCGAAGATTTGGTAAATTCATACCTCGACAACTTCACTATAAACACACACCCTCCCCTCACTTCTCCTAAGGAGGTACGAGGCATTATTAAAAAACTGCAGAACAGAAAAGCTTCTGGCCCCGATCAAATACCTAACATTGCTCTAAAATATTTAACTTTAAATGCAGTAACACACTTAACTAAAATTTACAATCAGTGCCTCATTAAAAATCACTTTCCAACACAGTGGAAACAAGCAAACGTAATTATGCTACCAAAATTAGGGCAAAATCACAAGTTCACACAAGGCTTTCGACCAATTAGTTTAATCAACACCACTGCTAAGATATATGAGAAAATAATCTTATCTAGAATTAAATCCCACTGCAAAGCCATAGATTGTATTCCCCCGGAACAACATGGTTTCCGGGAGGGCCATTCCACGCTACACCAATTGATACGAGTAACAAACATAATAAATGAAGGTTTTGCTAATAAATTTTATACGGTCGGTGTCTTTCTTGATGTCAAGAGGGCATTTGACAAAATGTGGCATGATGGCCCCCTTATAAGTTAATTAAACTTCAGTTCCCTGACTATTTAATTAAAATCATTCATGACTTTTTACACAATAGAACCTTTAGAGTTCGTGTAAACAACTCATTCTCTTCACACGGGAATTGCCTTGCAGGCGTCCCTCAGGGTTCTGTCCTTTCTCCATACTTATACAACATTTACACGCATGACTTTCCACAGCACTCCACTGTCAGTACCTGCCTGTTTGCGGATGACTCCGCTGTGTTTTCACAGGGTGTTCAGCTCAAATACACACTTAAAGCTGTGCAAAACTTCTTAAATAAACTAGAAATTTGGTTATCAGATTGGAGAATTGCAATTAATGTAGATAAGACTCACACAATTGTTCTTAGGAAATGGGGGATCATTGATCCACCTTTCCAACTCACACTATTTGACGACAACATACAGTGGGTCTCGGTGGTCAAGTACCTGGGCTTACACTTGGATAGCCGCTTAACTTACAAAAAACATATCGACTCTCTAGCAGAAAAGTTCTGGAATAGAATTTATTTGGCATCCTCTCTTATAGGGAGGGGGTCACCTCTATCTCTAGAAAATAAAGTAATTTTATACAAGCGAATTTTGCGCCCAGTTATAACATATGCTTCCCCCATTTGGGGGGCTGCAGCCACCACTCACATGAAGAAAATACAAATAGTCCAAAATAAACTACTCCGCATCATAACGAGCGCACCTTGGTTCGTTCGAAATGATGTGATACACAACGACCTACAAATGGAGCCGATATCTAGCTACATCACTAAACTATCTAGAAATACTTTTCTCTCAATCGAAACCCACGACAACCCCATCATCAAAGCTCAAACACTTTTCACGTATCCCCACCCTAAAATTAACTATGCTTATTCTAGCACGAAGTGGAGAAATCCTCTCCGCCCACCCTAACACAACAAATAACTCATTCATACACTTGTAACTTGTCACACTAGCTTCCCGCTGCATCCTAACAGGTGGAGAGAGAGTAACAGTCACTCGGCCGCTTCTTTCTTTGATTGCTGACGCAATCCTCCGATTTTCCTTCCTTGCGCTTCCTCCAGTTTTCTCCCCGGTTCGTCCGCTTTGCGGGCCAATGCCGCTTGGGAGCCACTTCCTCCGCCCCCCACGCCGGGGGCCACTTGATTTGTTACTTTTTCAGTCATGGTTGCTCTATTTCACTCAATTTGGGTAAAAGCGCTTCGCGCTGAGGCCCGGTACGTATAATTTTAGTTTAGTTTATAGTTTTTGTAAAAATTAAAATATCTCTTGTCCTAAAGGTCATTTCAAAAATGATTGACATAGCAACACATCAGAATTGAAAATTTAATCATAAACTTTTGACACAGAATGGACCCCGTTTATATTATTTTTTATACATTTTTACCCATTTTAGCAACAATAATTTCTTTTTCTCTTCTTAATATTAGCATATTTTTTTCTTAAAATGTACTAAATAAATCTAAAAACCACAAAATATCCTCATACCTCCATTTTCTAAAAAAAAAGTTGCCATAAGTAGACATTGACTTTTAGAAATCTTTGTCTGCAGAAAAATTTCAATGTTTGAAGAAGTTTACTGGGAAAAATTTTCTTTATATTTATTCAACATATATTTATAAGCAAAGTTTTTCCTGCATGAATTTCGATAAGAGTAAATTTTGATGCAAATTGGCTGACTTAAACTTGCAGGCTGTGATAAGAATTCCAACAAGCAATCTCACTCCTGATTTTTAAATAAAAAAATGTAAAAAAGTCTGATATAGGGTACATTTGTCTCAACAAACTGATTCTTAAATTAAATGTGCTTGCAGAGCTATAGCTAATATAAAATTAGCACCGTAAATAAATTGAATAAAACTGCCATTTTATTTTGTTCAACCTTCATTTGTTATTTTTTAATAGTCAATGCCATCATTTTAAAAAGGATTGGCCCTCCGATGTCCTCCCCTCCCACAATGTTGCCCGCAAGCGAAAATAAGTTGCTCTCCCATGAACTAGTTCAAAGAAGCAGAGTAGTGCAGTGGAAGCATGCTAGGCCCATAACCTAGAGGTCCGTGAATCGAAATCACGCTCTGCTAGTTTCCTTTAGAAGCAGAGTGGTGCAGTGGAAGCGTGCTGGGCCATCACCTCCTAGAGATCAAGGCCTGGTGACTCAAAGGAGATAGGCTTGGGACGTCACACATAATATAGGGATAGAAAACTCGCTTGAATTCAAGTTAGATTAGTTCACACACTCACCTACGCCATTTTGGTGCTTGTGTTAGTGCGGTTACATGCTTTTTTTACATTTTTATTGAAGTTTTTCAGTTTCTTTTTGACGATTCTTAATTAGTTCACAAAATGGTCTACACATGCGTTGTACCAAATTGCAACAGCTATTATAAAGATACTGAAAAAATAAGAATATTTAAATTCCCAAAGGAAGACTCCCTTCGACTCCATGCTACATCAAGAAAAGATGTTGCTCCATCAAAGTATTCAAAGGTAAGTTATTTAACTTTATTCTATTTATGGAAACTGTAATAATATCTTAATTTTAAAAGTCTACTAATAACTTTAATAGGTTGTCTGATAAGACATTTGAAAAATGGACTCATTTCTTTTTCTTCATGTGAGTTTCTTAACATGGTAATTACATTGACACAATTCATTTTTTTTTATCTATAATGAGAAAAGCGTATTGTTTATCAAATAAATATTTTTTAGCCCTAAAAAAATTTATGTGTATAAAAATAAGCTCAAACAAGCATTGTTAATGAGACAAAAACTGTGTAGTGTTTTTGCTATTGGAAACAAATATTTTTGTGTCATTTACTAAATATCTTTTCACAGAATCAACGAAAGTACCTTAAGAAGTTAATTGTGTGTTACCAAAAGAAAGCCTATTTTGATACAGAGCTCATAGTCAATGTAAATATGGACATAAGCAACCATTTATTGGCTATTTTGTATATTAATATGATGTGAGATACAAAATGCATAACACATTCACAACAAAAAAAAGCTATCTGATTTCTGAACTATAAAGATGACTTTAAAAGTCAGAAAAAATAAAGCTAAAAACAAATAAACATGACTCAGCATTAACCTCACAACATTAACTTGAAGTAGGATTGCTACGACAGCAAATGTCGGAGAAGACACCTTATTTAGAGGTAGTGAGTACCAATTTCTATGCCCTTGACGACAACACTGACAGTTTCTTTTCTAGAATTGTTTGCATTAATATAGACTATGTGGTGTCCCGACAAGAAGGATTTCATCGTATCAAGTTTGCTTTGATGACAACCATTTGCTGGCAAAATAAACAAATTTCATTGAATCAAAGAGAGAAAAAAAAATTTTGTTCGAATTTTGTATGTAAGCGTTGTCAGAAAAATTTTTGTTGTATCAAAATTTTTTCACTATTTCCAACAAAAATTCCATTCAAAATTACAAAAAAATCAAATTATCAGAGAAATTTTTGTTAATTCTAACAAATTTTTTCTGTCAATGCAAAACAATATATTTATATCTTTTTAATTTTAGGTTTCTGAACTACACTTTGCTGATGATGCAATACGAAGAAACACAGAAGCTTATGATGAAAAAACTGTGGAGAAAATATGTGTTACTTGAAAACAATTCCAGACTTTTCCCCCCAAATATATTTCAAACTCTACGAATCCTATTCAAGAATGTTCTGAGTAGAGACTGCAAAGATTAGTGAAATAAATACTGTTGCATGTGTGTGGTGTTATAAAATAATATTCTGAAGTCTTAGAATGGTCTTTTTCCTGGATTTATTGGTAACAATAACTTTCAACGATAAACTTAACAATCTTTAACAAATTAAATCAAGTTACAATTATTAGACTGAAATAATAAAGAGAATAAATTCTAATATTGAAGATAAAAATCCTAGTAAACAATGGCACCTGGTACGCCAAAAGAAGAATTTAAAAAAAGTAAATCATTTACGTCATTTCCAAAATTAGTCGAATGTTTAAATGCAGAGAAGCTTCAGAACATATGGACTGTTGTTTGTAAAAAAGATCTAGTAAGAATTATGTTGCTAGACACAACAGTATCTCCTGTTATTAAAGCATCAGTGATTATAAATAAAGAATTAGATTTGTCAATACACATAGGTCAAACAAAAATAAGTCCACTTGGAAAGTACAAATTTCCTCTAAAAGTTAATAATGTTATTGTTGTAAATAAAATATTACATGAACTGGTTCTCAGAGTAGAAGTGAAAAGCTCCCATGATTTTCCTACAAGATTTGGTTTTATTGTTAATCTTTTAGAAAGTATGTTTTCAGATTTAGATGAAGATAAAAAAAAATTGTACTCAATTTCTTAATCGACCAGCTCAAATGTTTAACCTGTAACAAGTTTCTTTTAGATATTCCTCTGAAATGATGGTTTTTTTTTATATATTACAATCCATATCTCCTCATACCTATAAATTTTTAAGAAATTCAGGATATCTCAATATTATCCATCTTAGAAGTTTGCACAAACTTTGTTCATCTTTAAAAACTAATCCTCAAACAGAACAATCAAATGAAAACTTTTTAGCATACATGAAAAAAAAGTAAACATCCTAAAATCTGTTGACAAAACTGTCATACTGATGCTTGACGAAATCTATTTAAAACTATATTTAGATTTTAAAGGGGGTAATATTCTTGGGATGGCATATAACAGTGAACAAGCTGCTACTTCAGCATATGTGTTCATGATTCAAAGTCTTCAGTTCATGATTCAGCAGTTCATATGATGCCGGTGAAAAAAATCGATGGAGAAAAATCGTTTGCTGTTGTAAAAAAATATCGTAGAACTTGATGGTCTAGGATTCAAAGTTATACGTGTAGTTTTTGACAATAATTCTACAAATTGAAAAGCAATGTCCAACTTTTCTGTTCCTCCCAAATTGAGCATCATATATCTTATTATTGATTCAGTACACATTTTTAAATGCATTCGTAACAATTGGATTAATCAAAAAAAGAGCAAGTCAATGTTTTTATTTTCTAGATTTTGAAGATCATAATAAGTTTCCATTATTAGAAGCAAATTTCTCTACACTTAAACAATTATATAAAATAGAAAGTATTATTTTAGTAAAGTTTGCTTATGGTTTAACTTTAAAGGCTTTATGTCCTACAAATCTTGAAAAAAAAATGTGAAACTTGTGCTTAAGATATTTAATAACTTAGTTATTCAGGGGCTTCAACTATTAGGAGAGCAACATTAACTAATTAGTTATGAAACAACATCAATTTTTATTTCTTTAATTTGTATATGGTGGAAAATTGTTAATGTTAAAACACCTTTAAAGAGACAACATTTGCTTGATAGTTATCAGCAGCCGATTACTTTATCTCCAGACAACAAAGCATGTCAATTCTTGCGTAAAATTTTGTCATGGTTAGACTTGTGGAAGGAAAAAGATTATACTACTGGCACCCTTACTAAAGAAACACATCTCGCTTTGACTCATACCACATACACTTTACCTGAAATTTCAAAATATTACATTAAAGAATTAAAGTTTCAGTATTTTCTTCCTAGAAAAATTCAATCAGATGCGTTAGAAAGTCGTTTTGGGAAATATAAGACACTTTCAGGTTCTCAATATTTAATATTAATTCGACAGCTTTATGAAGTAGAAGCTAAACTAAGAAAGCAAAATTTTTTACCTCTAACTTTGGTTTCAAATGCTTATGGCCAGCTTAACTTAAAAGACATTAATTTGGAAGATTCGTGTAATGAAAATCCTTTAGAGCTGTCAAGTATCGCATAATTTTAATATTACACTATCTGAAAAAGATTTTCGTGATGCTCAGCCATATCTACTTGTCTTAACATATTTAGCTGGTGTTTGTGCTAGAGCAGCACTTAAAAAATTAAAATCCGACTCTTGTTCCAAATAACTTGTTCTTAATAAAACTTTGAACTAAATTCTAACTATGATTTAATACGTAACTTAGACAGAGGAAGTTTATTGTGCCCTTCCCCAGATGTCGTTACAGCGGTACTCTATAACTATATAATAGTTCAGAAACTTCTTTCTAATGATTATGAAAATATGTTCCTCAAACAAAATAATCAACGTCAAATTGCCTCAGAAATTCGATTAGCTTGATAAATGAATTTTTTTTATATGATGAACCTTGTAACAATGATCATGCTTCTGAGCTAGTTTTAAAGCATATTATCCACACTTCTACAAATGCATTATTACATAACTACTGTAGGGGGAAAAATGATATTAAAAAAGTTGAAACAAAGAAAAGAGAAATACATACTTTATTAGCTAAATAAATTGCATTATTTTTATGTACGTAATAAGTTACATATATTTTCATGTATGCATTATTTCTCTCTCTCTCTATATATATATATTTATTCATTTAGGTATATATTTATGCTTTTATATATGTATGATTTATTTTAAAAATATTTTTAATTTATTTTACGATAACTTGTTATTTGTGAGAAGTTTATTTTTTGGTTATTTTTAATGTTGCTATTGCAGAGAGGAATTTTTGTTTATTACTGTGCATGATACCAATATATATAAAGTTTTACAATATATTTAATTCACATTTGTAACAATGCATAATTGAATAATTACTTTTGGCAGAAAAGTAACTGACAAACAGCTAAATAAATTGTGTTATCTATTTTTATGTATGTATTTATTTTCCTGTATATGTCTATAATTATATTGATACAGATTTGTTTCAAAAATATATTTTATAACTCTTTATGTTGTAATTGTATTTGAAACCAATAAAGTTACTGTTTATAAATTTGTTTGTCTTTTTTTCTGTTTTAAAAACTATTTCTAATTTTATTTCCCTTTTTGTAACTATTCTGAATAAAATGTTGAAAATAAATTTTAAAGCTAAGTAATAAGCACAGCTTTGTAAAAAAAAAATACAAATACAAAAGGTTCTTATGATTTGCCACAATGTTTTGTTTATGTTCATCGTAATGCGTGTTCGTAGTAAATACATCGATAATTACATACTTGCAATTATTATTTAAATAGGTAAACTAATATTTACTCTTATGTTTTATGTAC